GGATCATGTTCAACGCAAATTGCATGATTAAAATTTATCAACGTCCAACGATATAGTTCAATAACATGGCTACGTAGATAGGTAATAAGCAGGTAAATTTGATGAATATTATCATTGTATTTCGTTATTTTGCAGAAACAATYACGAGCAGTACCGCTAAAATGTCTCATATTTCGTGTCACATTAAATGAATATTATTGACACACAAGTTTTATATAGATATCATCATATTTTGATTTTAAAATACCAGTAAGTATATTTAGATAAAAATTAAGAAAAAAAAAATTTAGAATTGTATCAAACAACCCATGATTGTGCACTAGGAGCAAGATTGTGCAGAACGTAGCAAGGTTTACAATATAAGTACAAACATAGGATTATTGTGAAATAAAAAATAAAAATTTAAAAATTTTATGATCAGTATTTTATATAATTAAAGTTACATGTTATATTCAAAACTAAACCTAGGTAGTTAAAACAAAATTAATCAAATATTTAATTCGCCAAGGTCGAGAGTGTAAGGGATGTACATACATACATACATACATAGATAGAGAGGGAAGAAATACAGATACAGAAATAGTGAGAGCGAGAGAGGGAGGAGAGAGATAAATATGACGACAATCAGAGAAAACAAGCGTAACATTATAATAATATGATCAGCAAAGTTAGAGTTATGCGAGGGAGAATTTCTAATTGATCTCTTCCCCGCGGCACAAATTAATACTGTTTACATAAATAATAATAATTATACACACAGACCAGTCGATATAAACCAATACTAAATAAATTACTAAAATCGTACCACTGTAAGCTACATCGTAATAATAATAAAAACAATTGAACCTACGTTAAATTTGTCCGTTCGGTTTCGACGACATAGAAGTAGTTAGGTAGTCGACGTCGGTAAATCACGAGTAAAATCACACATAAAACTACGATAAGTACAATAATAATAAATAGCGCCCGTTGGATATCAACAATTATTATTATTAAGAGGACGCTACACCCGCATATCTTGTCTCCGTCTAAAAAGTGYGTAACATGGTAAATTTTATGCTCAGCAGATTACGTTTAGCTCCGTTAGTTTAAAATTTATAATAAATTCAAAATTGACCTCTAACAAAAATTAAAGGTAACATTATCATCGAGAGCAACTCGTTGGCTTTTATTATATTTTTATTTTAAAGTGAGTTATGAGTATTTTAAGATATACAAACAATTTATAATTTTAAAACACACATAACTCACTTTAAAATTAAAATATAATAAAAATCCTACGAGATGCCCTCGATAATAATGTTACCTTTAATTTTTGTAAAAGGTCAATTTACTTTAAATTTTAAACTAACGGAGCTAAACGTGATCTGCTGAGCATAACATTTGCTATGTTACGCGTTTATAAAATGAAGATAACATTTGAGGGTGTAACGTCCTCCTAAACGCGCGTATACACTCCTACGAAATGTAGGTATACATCAATACATCAATACTGAACATAACATATTATTAGCATATAACATTATATAATGGGACATGTCGGTTGTAAATTTTTTATAACAATATATATTATTAATTATCATAACGAAATCAATAATAACATTATAGTTACCTATATAATATTTTATAATAGATTATATGACAATAATAAATAAAGATTTTTGTTTTGTTTATGGAATCTCATCCCGTAGTTATATACTTATATAATGTTTGGTGTATATAGGAATACTATGTTTCGACAAAATATTATAATAATTTTATTATGACATTGACGGCTACCGAACGTTGTTAYAATTATATATTTAGACAACTCTCAACAATTTGTTCGAGGTATTTTTGTTTTGCTTTTCGTGATCGTCGATGATGCTTAGATCCGCCAGGACCCTGTCACACCACGATTTCGCCATCGTCTCAGATATGTTGATACAGTCCTGAAACATACAACATTAAAATATTATAGGCATCGGTATGTGTGAATTACTTAAGCTATTCTGAAAAGTAGACTTAGTTGAAAATGTTGTAACCTTTGTACTCGATTGTATAGTGAGTATTCGTTCTAATCGATGACTATATTATTAAATTAATAATTATGAATCAAAAGAAAAAAATGTTTGATTTATTCTTTATCATTTATATTTAACAGAAAACCAAACTCGAT